TTCTCATAACTGTTCTGCCTATGTTGTAATCCTTATCTAAGAAAACGATTTAACTGCAGATGATGTGTATGTCCTACTGTTTTAACCCTTTTGAGTAAAAATCTGAAGTAATTTTTTCTAAGCGTTAAAGTGAGCTGTAACTGGAGAGTCAAGCTACAGTATTTTGATTGATTGAATTGGAATTCTTGCAAATCACCCAAGAATCAGTTCAGAATCAAAACAAATGATTAATTATATGAAATTATTTTTAATAAGATTATACGCAAAATTATAATAAGTAATACTTGATCAGAAGACAAAGTATATCTGAGATGGTGGTGAGAGGTGGAGAACCAAAAGAACAATTTTTATGTCTCTTAAAAATGATGAACTGATTACACTTTAGCTCAGAGGTGCAAAATAACACTTCATAATGGTTAACTAGCAAGAAATTAATACATAATACATAATACAGGTGTATGGCTGTGGATACTTTCAGGATTAGGGATTTATTAACACAATTAATTACATTAAAGACTATACATGATCACTTATGTCACTTTATATATTAATGATATATATTTCATTAATGTAAAACAAACCCTAATATAAAATATTACCCATTAACTTACTAAAAAATAATTCAGAGAAACTTAGCACCAGCAATTTTCTCAGCAAGAAAAAAAGCCCCTCGGAACTGAGAAATTAATTGTAAATGAATTGGTCTGAAATGCTGTGTCTCTACAAAAGAATTTGTACAAAACTATTAAGGTACTGACAGAATAATTATGTGGTGAATGGAAGATCAGAACACTTTTCAAAATGAATGCACTTTGCTATTAAAAGCATAACAGAACCTCCCAGAATATCTGTAATAACACTGAAAACTGTTGTAAAACAAGCAACTTTTAACTGGTTTTGCAATAAAATAGGGAAAAAATGATTACGAAAGCAGTGGGTTTAACCCCTGAGCTTAGTTACACAAAGCTATATGACTATTTGGACAATACAGTACAACACCCAAAAATGTGTTCCAAAAATGTCTTACAATGGACATAAAAACCTAGTTCTTAAGTTAAATGTTAAAAAGGCCCTGTATACTAAGAATTTGACAAGTTGTTTCCACCTTGGCATCTCCAGGTTTCTATAACTCAATATTTTCCTACAACAGAAAAGAGCAATGCCACTCAGAAATCTCCATAATGAGCCCCCTGGAACTTCAGCTATGATAAGCTGAATTTAACATCAAACTGGCCAGTTTGCTAATTATACAAGGGTCATAATCACATATTGCTTTTTGAACTTATTTTATACCAAATATACCATTGGATACCATTGGATGCTCTACTGTCTCTTATCAATATCCAAATAGGTTGGTTAGATGAAAATTCAAGACTGGCAAACACTTGTCAGATAATATCTAAGGTAGAGAAGTGCATGCAGGTAGTAAAAATCTATAAAATCTGACACTCCAAGCTTTATTTTGAAATATTTTTGTCTTCTAGACACTAACGAAAAAAATCACACAATATGTTAAGCTATTAATCTCAGGCACAGAGAAGATTGAAGGAGATACCTGGGTTTCTTTAAAAAAGAATCACTGGGCAAGATCCACAAATTAATTATAGTCTCTCCGTTTATACTATGTGCTACACTTTCTGTATTAATCACCGGGCATTTTAGCCCCATCTTATAAAAGATACCGAAACTCTGCATGTAACGCATCAAAAGCCTACTGATCCATGGTTCAGTTTTGTCCCCTAAATGAAGCTTCTACAGCACCTGACTGATCCAAAATTACATGGTTAAATTTTGTCCCTTACTAACGCACACATGCTATTTTCAGATTATTCAAATTTTTTTCAAGTACCCCTGCAAAGTGGCTTTTGAACTAGATTTTTATTCCTAAGAAAAAGTGGTCTGAATCAGATTGGAGCACATGGACATGTTTTAAGTCTTCTTGGTCTCCTAATACTGTACCACCATTGAATCTATGCTAAATTCAGGGAACATCTTTACATAGGAGTAAGCAACTGGCATTTTGAAGATCAAAAAATGTTAATGAGCGCATGCATGCGGAAATGCTACTTAAAAACAGGATTCATAGCAGCCATATCCCACTCAAGATCTTGAATGTGACTCAGTGCCTTCATCCAAGTGTTTTCCCATATTACCCTCAAACAGTTTTGCATGCCCCATCTAAATGGGTATATCTTTATGTGCAGTATAGCTAAAAAAAATATACCTCTTGATCTACAGCAGTGGAACAAGTCACTCAAGCAGTATACTGAATCAGTATGAAGACACAAACTTCTTCAACATACTGACACATGCTGTATTTCACGGAACCTACAAAGGGAGCAAAGATGAAAAGATACCTGCTTCTCCAAACTGAAAATAACAACATGATAAAAGCACAGTACAGGAGAAGAAACTGATAAATGATAAGGAAAGAAAGCCACAATAATTTGAGAGTTTTGGCAAGCGAGCTTGTGTAAGATTTTCCACAAGCCACCATGTGAAGCTGTGAATTTACTTTTACCAAAAAAAAAACAAGAATTTTAAAATTATCTATTAAACTGACTTCACAAAATCATTATACACTATGACAATGTCTCCACGGCCTGGATAAGCAAAGGATTTACAAAGGAAATTTTAAAAGGATTAATTCCATATTCATAAACAGCTGTCAAACAGCTAGAGTTCCATTGTTTCGGTATTTCATGTTGGTAAGTCTTTAAAGTAGTGATCAAGCTTCAGAAGAAAGGAACTGACATTTCAAACAATTGCTGTAGTTATACACTTTGTATTGAGCCTAGATTAAATTAGAAAGCCTAGAGACAATTAATTAAAAGCTTAAGTAAACCAAAATGGAAAAACCTTTTCCCGAGAGTGGTGCAATTAGCTTAACATATTAATTGAACGAGCTTTCTTTACTTAACCACTGTAGCATAAAATAGATGGAGCTTGATGACAATTATCTTTGATGCCTTCACCTGAAGCACTTACAATCAATATTACCACACTGTTAATATTTACACAGTAAAACATGTATAGTGTACTGTACCTCCCATTCATCCATTTTCAAACCTCACAAAACACAGGGTTGCAGGTGAGGTGAAGCCCATCCTACCAAGCAATGTGTGCAAAGCAGGATACACCTTGGATGGGACACCAGTCCATTGCAGGGCATACAGTACACAGACACAAATACACACAGACTCATACCGAGGGCCAATTTTCCCAGAAGCCAGTGCTCCTACCAGCTTGTCTTCACATACAGTATAGTGGCAGGAAACCAGAGCACCCGGAGAAAATCCACTCAATAACAGGGAGAGCTTACAAACTGCACACAGATAGCACCCCAGGAATAGAACTCGTGGCCCCAGTGCTGCAAAGCACCAATTCCAACAACTTCTCTACTCTGGTACCCATGGTACCTCCCTTCTTTTCCTTTTCAACTCCCAGTCACTATATTGAATAAACTTTGTAAGAAGCCAGGCAAGGTAGCGCTTGCTTATTTTAGTGGAGACACAAGTTGTTAATTTAGCACAGCTTCGAGTCCTGTTCAATTTAATGTACGCTGGAAAAAAAAGGCAATTCAGTATTAGTGTAATGACGTTAATTGCCAAATGAAAGACATGGTTATCAATCTGTCAGCCAGGAGTTTTACCTTTGATGGAGCTGGTGGGTATGATTCCCTCTGCTGTGCCTCCATAACCTCCCGAAACAATGCTGGTCTCATTGAGGTTGGGTCCTGATACCATCACCTGCTGCAAGTCCTGTGTTAAGAAACAAAGACGGTAAACTCAAGGGAAAACAAATACTGTAGAGCTTTGAATTCATTGGTCTGCCACTAAGTATATACTGCACAACAATAAACCTCTCACTTTTCTCAATTTTTAGAATTCAAAGCCGAAGGTCCAAGAAATCAAAAACATAGCTAAATAAAATGACAAGAACATTTGAGTCATTTGGACGGTTTAAAAAAAATTACATTTTTAAGCCACAAACATTTCCAATTGAAATTAGATGCTCACAGTAATATGAACAGTACATACCAATTACAGCTGTTTCCAGGTAAAATAATAAAATGTGAGCAGAAGCCTACCCAGCTTTAGGGAAAATTACATTGACCGCAGAAACAATTTTTAATCTGGAATCTTGCCCCACTCCTGTACAAAAAGTGTAGGCAATCAAGTCAAATTAGATAACATGAACTTCAGTCAAATTCCATCAGATCTCATTAACAGTATCTACAGATATACATCTGATAACTCTTAGAAGAAATCTGAAGTGGATTTCTGAAAACATTTGGCCACGGTGTAATAAAATTAACTTAAAAGTGCTTGCTGTTATCTTTTCATTTTAAAGTAAATTTGAATGAACAAAGAGAAAATAAAGCTAAAACTTCAAAGAATCAATACGAGTTGAGTATTAAGTTATATCATAAAAACGTATCTTATTATGTAGGAGGAAGAAATGCTTCAAATCATGAGCATGTGAAAACACTGAGAGACTTGGAATGACAAAGGTATACTTTATTTTCAGTACAGTATATACAGTATATTAATTAATATTATGTCCCAGCCAAATAATGGTCCCTTGACAGAGGAAGACCTTTGTGAAAATATTGGAAGAGTAACTGCAACAGAGTAAACATGTTTGTGAAACTTTTCACATGGGATTAATATAAGGGCATGGGTTTAATCAGTAATTGTGTGTGGAAGGTCAGGAACTGACATTTCCAAAAGTATATATAGTCTTTCAAACTGCTGAGCGGGGCAGAAGCTGGAAGACTAAAGACCAGACTGTTTGCAGCACTAAGAAAAGGTGAGTTTGTTTTTCTGTTACTTGAATTACAACAAAAAAGCATTTAATTATAATGTTTATCAATATATCTTACAATATCTCTGGAAGTTTTATCATTTTAAAAATGAATGATGAGACACCTATCCCAGGCAACTACCTTGCTACCCGTGCAAAGGGTGCAAGGCAGGGTACACCCAGGATGGGACAAAAGAGCAGTCACAAACATGCACACACTCACACCTAAGGCTAATGTTCCAGAATCCAAATAAACTTCCAGTAAGCCTTTGCACTGTGGAATGAAACCACGTGAACATAGTGAGAACATACTGTACAACCTCCACACAGACAGCATCCCAGGTCCAGATTTGAACCCAGGGCCACAGTGCTGTGAGGCAGCAATGTTAACTACTATTCTGCAGCTAAGAAGATCACCGTTAATGCAGATATACTGAAATAAATTCTAGGCAGCATATTATAACCTCACCCCTCAGCATTTCACTGCTGCTTACACTGTTGCAGAATTGCACATTGAAATTCTTCATATTAATGGTATAATAATAGAGCTTAATTCGCCAGACCATCTTGCCTATTTGCTAGTGTGAATGGCTACTAAAACTGGTATTTATTACAATGAATTTCTTGGGAAATAAATCTGTTTTAAACACAGGGTGCCAATATGTATGTATTCAACTCCAATACCTACAAGAAAAGTACTCGGCAGGAATAAAATGTCATATAGTAACAGTGATTCACTTTCTGTAGGAGGGCAATGTTACTCATGCTCATTGACTAATCCCTGGCTTACCAATGTGCATAGACAGATCTGTAGAATCTCTAAATTATACTTTATGAGAGAAAGATCTCAAAATGTGAACTAGCACATTAACAAAATGTATACAGTATCTAGGGGATGAAGAAATGTTAAGCATGGGGAATTTACAATTTATACATTGATTTAATAAAGAAGGTTATTCCTCTCTAAAATAAAGAGTAATTATTGACTAAAGTGTCAATATTTGAAAATGAAATACTGCCATCGCCTTAAAATCACAGCAGGTGAAATCACAGAAAATCTTATCAATAGCTTGTTAAAAAGACTAAACTATAATAAACAATGGATGAATGAAAATTTAGCTTACTGCTTGCGGAAATCCTTTTAAGAGATAAATACAGACAAATGTGATCTGTTCTCCCAACACCAGATTCTTCAGTTCAGAGCCCAGAATAAGTTTGTGATGATGGCAAATGGTGCTCTTGCTAATTAACATCTTGAGTTAAGTTCATATCAGAAGGAAAAACAGGAAAGGCTAACCACAGTAGTTTTTAGAGCCTGTAAGATAAATGTCTTAATACTTAGAAATAATCTTGTATGAGAGCAATTCATATGAATAGTGCTCGGTTGCAGTAAAATGAGGATGTATGAGCTGCCATAGCAATCTTCTAAACACATGGCTCATGAACATCTTACACATAACATCAACAAGGAAAATACTAGCTGGATACACACAGATGCAGACACACGTGTTGTAAGGAAAATCCAACTCCATTGGAACATCACCCATTACCATCGGCTGTACCAACGGAGTTGGTTGTTACTGCTAACCTCCCAAGCTGGAAGTGACCAGGGTAAACACAGATTTCCCCCAAAGAATTAATGGGGTGTTCACTCACCATATGGAAAACCCTTTAAAGCACAGCAAACACTGCTGTTCATAATATCAGGTTTTCCAAAATAGAATACACCATTGGGCCAAAAGAACAACAAACCTAAGTGCCAATGAGGCAACAAGCAGGTTAGTTCCATATTGTTTTTAATGAACGTTAATGATAAGTGTGTTTCTTTCTATGCACGTCCAGCTTAAATTGGAAAAGCAGCAGATTAGAAAAGCTCACAGTTTTAACTTTTCAGGGAAGAAAAGATGTCCCAAGCTCTTGCTAAATGGGGCCCAAAGGTAAGTAATACAACTTCAGACAAGGTTAGTGAAAGTGCCCTGTGTTCTTTTTCCCACTGCACACCCACACACTGATGGCTGCATGCTACCCCCCAGCTGTAGAGCGAGCTCTACATAAAAGAGCAGTTTTGCAAACTAAGGCTCTCCACTCTCCGTCTTTCTACAGTGCAGAACCCTGAAAGACTGGAATTCCCTACCTTCTCATCTAAGCGCCACTGAATCTGTGCCGCCTGTGTAAAAACAAAAGGAAATGAGAAGAAAAGAAAACATAAAAAGCAAAGTAACGGAAAATGAAAATGACATTGTTCTGCAGTCTATAAAATGGAAAGATGTCATGTTTCCACCTTAAAGCATAAGTTAAAACAGGGCTTTCCAGATCAATTACTAATCTCCACTGAAGAAATAAATAGATATATTCTAAGCCCTTCATCTGCTAAAAAGTAGCAGAATTTAAGTTACTTTTAATAGCCAACCTCAAATCATTAACAAAACTGTTTGAAGTAAGTCTGTTATCAATTCCATAAAAATCCCAATACATAGTAAAGAGCTGATCTATATTTTAAATTGAAAACCCTCTTGTATTTAAAATGTATTCAATAATGTTAACAAAGGGAAAAAAAAGCATGAGATCTGATGCAATAATAAAGCAGCCATCAAACACCATTCCATTTCTAATCCTCTTTATGTTTCCCTAAAAACCATGAGTCTGCTGATGGTGTTGGAATTATAACATTTAAACATGCTGTTACCAATTTAAAGATACTGTGGTCAGCTACGTTGAGAGAGTGTATCAGCGCATGGGGCCACAAGCATTCTTACAAAAAAACTGGAAAAGAAATATTAGAATTAACCAATTTTGATCCAGCGTAGCTTTCACACTCTGATTTTGGCTTTGTAATTCACATTGCCTTCTATTTTTCTTACAGATTTTGTTTCATCTACTTTCTCCATGATTAAAAAAAAATTAAACACACATAAGATGCAAAACACAAGCTATCCTGGAAATTCTACAGACTTTCCTCCTGGTGTGTCTGTAACTAAGGACTTGTGGCCGGTTATAGTTCTGGCCTTCTCTGGTTCAGCCTGCTACTGCAACGTGGGTGTGCTCCTAGCTGTGACCGTGGGTAGGCCTGCCTGGCAAGAGGAGCCACGCTTTCCTTTCCTGGTAGCTATGCTGTGCAGCGACATGATGCTGATCCTTTGCTCCCGAGGGCTGCTGCTACTAGGCCACTATAACATCCTCATCACAGTAGTGCCATGCCAGATCCTCCTCATGCTCTGTAAATTTTGCTTCAACAATGCTACCCTCAGCCTGGCGTGGATGGTCATAGAACGCTACATAGCAATTTGCTATCCCCTGAAGTGTGCCATCCTCCTGAGTCCCCACAGGGTAAACCTGGTGATCATGGGCAATGGCATTCTGTCCGGCTGCCTTGTTATGATACACGTCATCTTGACGAATCTCTCCACTGAAGAGGTAAATTATGAACTTGGCATGATTTGCCATTCAGAGTCAAAGGTTTACGGATCTAATTTTGAAAAGGAGGCGCTTGTAGTTCGATATTTCGGCCACGCCTTCTGCATTTCCTTCCTGCTGACGATGATCATCTTCGCCTACCTGCGCATTGGCAATGTGATCGTAAAGGCCAGCACAAAAGAGAAGGGTTCAGCAGTCCGGGCTCAGAAGACTATCCTGCTACACGCCATCCAGATGCTGCTCTATATGGCTTTCCATTTCTATCCTGTTCTATACAGGACGATGTACCAGAGTGTCAGTGGGACACACCTCATGAGGCTTTTCAATTTGCTGTGCTTCGATGTTCCCAGGGTCCTGGCCCCCCTTATTTACGGGCTCAAGGATGAAGAGATTAAACCTAGGGTTCTGGTGTTCCTTTGCTGCTGTCTCTTCAAGGTACACCCCTCCAGAGGTCAGCAGTAGAATTTCCCAAGAACACCAAGAAAAACAGCAATGAATGTACAACAAACCTTGCACCAAATTGTTCAGGGAAAAAAATAAAGATTAAAGAAGTCTAAACTGGAACAGCCTAACGTCAATATGTTGTGTTAAATTGGCTCAAATAATTCTGAACTCCTGTCTCTATATATCTTAAACCGGGGGGAAAAAATGTTTACAAGTCTTAAGGTCAGGACCTATGGTAAAGCTACTAAAGCTCAAATAGCTTTAATATCACCGTTCAGGGAAAAAAAAACCTGTTTATTACTGGAATATATGTTCTAAACAGCACAGATAAAAACACAACAGTGAAAATGCACACAAGGAAAACAGCTATAGCATTTGCAAGTTAACATATGGTTTACTCTCTAAGAATAATGTAGTATTCCAGACCTCAGTTGGGTTTTCATTACATTGAGTATATTTTTGCACAATGAAATTGTACAAATTTAAAAAATGACACCTTTGAAGACACTGTATTTTGAGGATACATTATTCAGCTTGTGTCGTATTTCCAATCAAAGTTTTTGAGTTTTGGTATATTAGAATATAAAAAAGTATATAATCACCTTGATGTTTATAATATTTCTGTACTGGAATGACTGAAAAATGGTTAGACGCTGCCAAAATACCACTTTACACTTAAACCATGAAATATAGTGATTACCCTTTGCTGTGCCTTTCAAGTAGAAAATGAAGTCACATTCTGTGCTTTACCATTTCACAACTGTATGTACTGACAGCGTCAAGGAGAATGACCATTTCATTAATGAACTTTTGTTCAAGGAAGATCAGGCTACTTACATAGAAGTAGCAGTGTTGTAACAGTGGGCGACACTCCTTTTAAGCCAGCTAACCCAAACCCCTGTATAGTGAATCATGCATTGCTAGGATGAACAATTTTTAAATGATATGTTTTATCTGAGGTTTTTATCTAAACTGTCAACATCAAAGCTATGAAAACTGGGAAGCTAGTGTTGTGGTAAAACAAAACAAGTCCAACATCTGTTTCAAAGAGTTGTAGCCAGCCATAGTCCCAGAGTGCTGAGTTTCTGCAGGCTGCAGAGATATTTCATTTAACACCTGACTTGGGAACAGAAGAGATTTTCTCACTCTTCAATTATATCATTCAAGTCACATAGAATGAAAACCACAAGTAAAACCTGAACTAGGGGACCGGGGTTCTCTACCCCTGCTTCACATTTTCCTCTTACCTCCTGCCTTCCGTTAGAGAATTGGATAAAAATGATTCCCATTAAGCTGACCTTAATTTACCCGACTATACATACCTAAACAGGCCACTAATTCTGCTTAAACTTTAATAAATTCAGATGTAACACCCTCGCCCTAGTGTTACTTAACTAAGCAAATAACTAAAGAATGTTTTCATACCGGATCTACATGCAGGAGAATTCTTTATTCAACTTACTATGTAACTTACTAGGCGTTGTCTTACTCCTGTGTCCACAGCCAATTGTTTAACTACGGGATTGCTCACTAAAAGTGTAACAATGTAGAGTCTGGAAATATATGAGGATGTCTCCCAGCTTATAGCTTTAAAAGACTAATTGCAAATGCAACTAAGACTATCTCCTAGAAAACTTCTTATCTTTAAAACTCTACCCCTGAGTTGACTCTGCAAAACCAGACCACACACTGACTCCATACTTAGTGTCTGGATGGTTCATCTAATAAGTGCCAATGAAAACTTTACATTGTCACATTGTGTGAGAACAGGATATTGCTGCAGAAAATTCAGTTAAATTCTAAGCACAACTTGCTCTTCCACTGTTACATCAATGTTAATCAAATAATCTTTTCAAAAAGCCAGGTCACCTACATTGTGAATCTACTTTGTATGTTTAAATGAATACAGACAACATAAAATAAAAAAGCTTTCTTCATTTTCTAATCAACAGATCATAAGTTTCTAAATTCTGCTTAGAAAGGATCCTCAGTCTCGACTGTCACCCTTGTCTACCCACACAAAGAAAAACAAGCAATAGGGACAGTACAGAAATTTAGATTTTTTTTTTCTCTTTAATTGCAATAAATGATGGGACTATTTTCAAAAGGCAATTTTAATCCAAATGGTCTCTTTAAAGGCAACTGGTAAAATCTCTTTGATTTGCAACTTCCCAACACTGCTTAAAAAGGATAAAAAAAATATGCAAACAATGACAAGGACAGAATGCAAACAAGGGAAAGACAGGAGAAACGAAATTGGAAGACAGGCATGTGATCTCCACCATCGATGCTATAAAGGAAAAGCTCTCACACACCTGTTCCAGGCTGTCATCCTCAGTGAGGGTCCCTGTGTCTCCGTTGCTGTTTATTGGGATTTCCATCGTAGCAGCTTTGCTCATAATGCTGTCTGTCATTTTGGAGGTCTGCAGAGGAGATACAAGTGAAACCAAAAAAACATTGCTGAGCTCAGAATACCACTGGAGGAACTCTAAGAAGTTATGCTCTAAAAGTTTTGAGATGATAATAATTGCTTACACTTATTTAGCGCTTTTCTAGACACTCCACTCAAAGCGCTTTACAGGTAATGGGGACTCCCCTCCACCACCACCAATGAGCAGCCCCCACCTGGATGATATGACAGCAGCCATTGTGAACCAGAGCGGTCACCACACATCAGCTATTAGTGGGGAGGAGAAAAGAGTAATGAAGCCAATTTATAGATGGGGATTATTAGGAGGCCATGATTGGTCTGGTCCAATGGTAAATTTGGCCAGGACACCACAGTTACACCCCTACTCTTTTAAAGAAAAGCCCTGGGATTTTTAATGACCACAGATAGTCAGGACCTCGGTTTTACGTCTCATCCTAAGGATGGCACCTTTTTTACAGTATAGTGTCCCCGTCACTATACTGGGGCATTAGGACCCACATAGACCTCAGGGTGAGTGCCCCCTGCAGGCCCCACTAACACCTCTTCCAGATACAACCTTAGTTTCTCCCAGGAGATCTCCCATCCAGGAACTGACCAGGCTCACACCTGCTGAGCTTCAGTGGGTTGCCAGTTGTGAGTTACAGGGTGATATGGCTGCTGGCCATGATGATGTACCACCAGCTCATCGATTTCTCCGTTGCTTCTGCCACTTGGGATCAGGCCGTTTTCCAATCAGCCTTCAATGACCTAACATTCTAGCACTGTTCTGACATCGTCCTACTCCTCCCTCACTGATTGCACCAGGTCTGCTGGCAAGACTTGTTCTCTGCTCCCTCTTACCTTTTGATGTCCCTCAAAGATCTGTCTTGAATCCCAAAACCTGACCCTTCTCATTTCGCCCCTCAGCTTTTTGTAATTTGTATGCTAGTGATGCTCAGTTCTTCCTCTTTTCTTCTCATTTACCATCAGATTTCCACCCATAACGGCCTGTCTCACCGCCTTCTCTTCCAGGATGCACTCTCATCAAATTAAACCCAACCTCTCAAAGTCTAACCTTTATTTTCACTTCCTCCCAAACCACAGACCTCTCCATCACTTTCCCACCTCCTTCCCCTCCGTGTCACTCTTGAACCTCTCATTAGTGTTACTCTTGTAACACTTGAAATCCCCCAGCAGTTTTAAAGTTCTCAAAGATCTGAAGATTCCCCTGTAGATTCACAGACCTATGACATACATATTACATTATGTGCTGGAGGTTTAAAATAAAGTTGCCTGAGTCTGTGATCTTTGAAATCGCCTGCTCAACACATCAGGAGACATAGGAGGTTGCTGCAAGAGGGTCACTGACTCCTCTTACACCAGCAAATTTAAACTCCCATTCATTTTACCTCTAGGTAACCCCACCCCCACCCCCTACACTCATTTCTCATGAAGCACTAATAATGATTAAATACTGGGCACAAAGAAGTCTTTAAGTGACCTGATCAATGAAGAGTGACAATGTACCCCAGCAGGTTTGTGCCTTCAGTTCTCAAATATGAAACACCACAAGGCACAACTGCCTGAAGCAAAACTGTAACTACTGTAAACCTATCGTTGTGCTTTTACTTGCAAATGTTAGTGTCAAACAAACAACTAGGCGCTGTATCCTGAATTCAACATGAACGAACCTACAGTATGTAGTTATAACTTACAGTGTGACGAAAAAGTACACCCCTTAAAATGTCATGGTTTAACATATTTAGACATACAGTATATGACCTTCATATAGGTCTAAGTCCTAACATAGATAGAACTATAAAAATGTTATTATTATCAACTATTATAGTTATATTCTTTTTTAATATGAAAAACATCACAAAAACACTTATGTTTCTATTTAGTATTAGGCAGGAAACTTGGAAAAATAAATAAGGTCAAAGTTGATATAATCAAATAACTGGCAACTTGTGACAGTAAATGCTTTCAACTATAATGGTTGTTCAGTGTTTCAAATACCTAGGAACAGTAATAGATGAACATTTAAACTTTGTATTAAATACTAATTGCATTTTTAAGAAATTGAAAGGGTTTTAGTTGAGTCAAAATGTTTTAGAGAGGATTTATAAAATGTTAGTAGAAAGCATCCTTACTTTTGTTATCACGGTGTGGTATGGCAGCCTGAGTATTAAGAGTAAAGAGAAACTGGACAGAATTGTTAATATTGCTAGTAAAATAACTGGTCAACCACAGAAACAGTTTTAAGAGCTTTATTATACTGCTGTTCAAAGGAAAGTTCAGCTAATCATTGATGACCCCTCCCATCCTCTTTATTCCATTTCCAACTGCTACCTTCAGGAAGGTGTTTTAGAGTGCCTATGGCCAAGTAAAAATGTATAATGTATAGCCACAGTAGTTTCAAATTAACACACAGTGGTGTGGATCTGAGAAATGTGCTCTGAGAAAAAGTTTCAATAAACAAGTACAAAATAAGCCTACACTGACCAGAGTGGATTATGTACAGTAATTATTAAAATCACTGAAGGAAAGAGAAATCAAAGACATTGATAACTGCTGAAGAAGGAGAAAACGGGCAGGTACTGTATGAATACTGCATAGGTAAGCAAGTCAAAAGTATAAATTCACCTTCAATCACTAGATGGGTATGAATTTATACTGTATCATTTCAGTGGTACCATCAACACAAAACAAAATCCAGTTTGGGACTTTATAGTCACCTAATTCACCGGCGTCACCGTCAAAACCGGTCTTCGGGCAGCAAATGTAACATGCAAAGCCATCCCAGTTGAAGGCCACATCACCACATAATTACCAGTGCTTTTGGTAAGTCTCTATACAGGAAACGCAAACACACTTCACGTACACTGTATAAACTACCTGGTTCATAGAACATGAGATACGAAAATTAATAAGCTTGGTTATAATATATAACTTATATCAACAAGCGCCGCCCGATCTGTGCTGCACATGTTGTCCTAATTTTTCAGGTGCAACTAGCAACCTCTCAGGACTGACTAAATTATTTCAACATTTAACTTGCAGTGCAAGCACGAAGAAGGAGTTTCTCACACTGTCAACACCAAAAACGCCAACACACCAACGCCACAAAAGCACAACAGGCCTCGGACGACAGCCACTCAATAGGCAGGCGCACATTTGTAACTCGACACGAGATGCGAGTGACCGGTGAAATTCAAGAATTCAACAAGCCTTCAAAGTATAGTGCTTGTTTTACCAGCATTATGCATTCTAAGTGCTATCAAGTCTGAGCTAATAAAAAGAAAACGCTTGTGCATACAAGAAATACCTAAGTCCTTTGTGCTCTGAAACAGCTGTCACTCGTCGATTTGTTTTTCGATGCGAAATTAGTATATATTTGCACAACAAGAACGCTTTGTCCGTTGTCACCTTGCTCAGCGGATACCACGGCTCCAGCAAGTGCAACTGCAGGTGGATAACAGAAACAAAACCGAGCCGGGCGTGAAAAAATCATGTAGCAACCATGGTACCTTGCGATTTAAATCCACCATACAGTTTCTCTCAATGAAGCATTAAACAGAGCTGTACAGTTACAGGGAATTTAACGTAACGGACGAGCGCCCAGTGCCGTCCTACATATGCATACTGCAGCGCAAAGGAGACAAAATATGTGAATTTTGTTCTGGGAACTCAACCTGAATTCATGTCTTTCTGCTACCACAACGATCCAGTTTAACTAGGGTCACAATTCCAGGTTTCGGTGTCAGTCTGGAGAGGCCCACAAAAAAAGCCGATGTGCAAGTAGCACCTTTATATGTGCAATACCTTTATATGTTACTGCAACCTCTTTAATGTGTCAAATCGTCCAAGACCTGCATTGCCAACATGCTCAGTGCAGCTTGTAAAAAATCAGATGAGCTATATATATATAAAGTAATGCTATTCTTACCAGTGTGTGAATCCGTCTTCTGAATTAGACGGCAAGCTGGTGGAAGCCAATTGTTTCCGGCTGTTTTCCTCAACGCGGCGATAATAGAAAAGGTACAAAAGTACCTGTTAATAATTAGTATCTTGTTATATATTGTTTTATTGCATGACTGGCCAGCTGCCCCCCCCTCTCCACCTCCGACTTCTTGTTGCTGTTATTCGCCCCCCTTCTGCCTGAAGACACCGAGCGGAACTGACGACACCAGCCGACCTGATTCCATTCACCCCTCCCTCACGGAGGAATATTGACAGCGTGGAAGAACCACAGCTCTCGCGAGGCTGCGGGCTCGTTCCTCGAAGCAAGTTGGCTGCCATGTTGGTGAAGGATGCATAGTAATATAATCTACATTAAAGCAACGCATAACGCTAATTTAGAAACATAATTTCAATAACTGCTTATCCAAATCAGGGTCACGGACGTTCTTTATAAAGTAAAAAAATTTAACTTATTTTTTTTTCTTGTGCATGTCGAAAATTATTCTTTTGTTAATGTTTTGACGGATTTTAAAATTAAACTAAAAAAAAGATCTGAATAAAAACAAGTTAGGGGCACATTATGTGCTTTAAACGAGTATAATATTTAAAGACTCAAGCACAATGGTATTTTGAAAATGTAGTCTATAAACATGGAAAAGCTGGCATTTCATTGATAACACTTAGAAATAAAGCATTCAAGTTTCTTAAGTGTTTTATCCTCTGCATTGTTCATCTTATTGACGTCATTAACATTAACACAAATTCGGGTGATATAAATGAAATGAACAGAGGTTCGGGAGCGCAATTGTTATTTATCTGCTTGTGGTTGTTCTGCTATTTCTGTTTTACCGGCCACTTCAGCCTTTAAAAAATTAACCAGACTTTAAACTCGTTTTAAATACTGTATCTTGGACCATTCCTTTCAATAAAATCATTCTTAATGGGGTGAACAATTAATAATATACCCACATAAGTGGAAATGGGAAACAAAAAACACTCCCACGATGTGTATTTGATTTTTGTTCTTTCGCCTAACTCCAATAAGTTAAATTTCAGTTAACACATGGTGTCAAGTTCATTTCCTGATTTCTTAGTCCTAGTGTTTTCGTTCTCCCTACGTTCTGGGGCATATACGTGGTCTAATTACAGTACATGGTACTGAGGTTCAAAACTCCCTTGATTCAGATATGCGAGATCAGGGCTCTTAAATTCCAGTTTCTGGAGGGTCTTGTGCCTTCTAGTTGACCCTAGTAGTCAATTAACCTATTAACAATGTACCCGGTTTCTAAATTAGACACACGTGATATTGTTCTTAAGGTCATTATAGTTAATTATATTACATTCGCTTCAGTATATTTACCTTGAAAACGTAGAGAGCATGGTTAGAAGTATGATTATGCAGATGTCAAATCAACGTACTAATTAAAATCCCAATCAGAAGTTAAAAGCAATCTAAATAAATATAACTTAAAAATCCAAATTAAGGCTGTGGTTAGGAACTTAGCTAGAACAAAAACCAGCACACATCAAAGAGGTCCCCTGGGAACAGGAGCTTCGTTATTACTTCAGATGCGTAATTTTGTATTAGCTTACGGCCAGCAGGTGTCACTACAATTCAAGAATTGAGAAATGTTCAGATTTTGGAGAACTGGATTGTTAAATCTAACCCATTACCCAGTTTCTTTACGTGATAAATTTGCGATTGTGCTGACTGCTAATGCAGATCTACATCTACAGGTAACTGTACCACAGAGTGGTACAACACAAGGCCATCCTGTTCCATATGATAGTGGTTTTGTTAGAAGAACCTTGCTTGGGGTTTTTTGACAAAACTGTCAGCGTTGATGTGATCAATTCATTAAGTTACTGAACTATTTGTGCACGGCGACACACCAAACTCCATGCACATACAGTACGCACAAATCTGGCCACGCTGTTGTAGTAGCAACATTGGTATTGCCTAAAGAACATTAAAGGAAATGCAAATCTTCTCCAACATGATACTGAATTAAAATGTTAAAGCATATTCTTGGGTGAAAAATAATTATTCTAGAATATTTTTTTAGTAAGCAGCCATATCACCCTGCAACTCACAACTGGCAACGCACTGAAACTAAGCAGGTGTGAGCCTGGTCGGTACCTTGATGGGAGACCTCCTGGGAACAACTAGTGGGGCAAGTAGGGGGTGCTCACCATGTGGTCTATGTGAGTCCTAATGCCTCAGTATAGTGACGGATACTACTGTACTTTGTAAACAGGCGCCGTCCTTCAGATGAGATGTAAAACTGAGGTCCTGACTCTCTGTGGTCATTAAAAATCCCAGGGTGTTTCTCTAAAAGAGTAGGGGTGTAACCCTGGTGTCCTGGCTAAATTTCCCATTGGCCCTTACCAATCATGGCCTCCTAATAATCCCCATCTTTGAATTGACTTGATTACTCTGTGCTCCTCCCCACTGATAGCTGATGTGTGGTGAGCATTCTGGCGCACTATGGCTGCCGTTGCATCATCCAGGTGAGGGGGATACACATTGGTGGTGGTGGAGGGGAGTCCTCATTACCTGTAAAGCACTTTGAGTGCAGTGTCCAGAAAAGCGCTTTATAAGTGTAAGCAATTATTAAGTATTATTATAGAATATATATTTTTCAATTATTTACTTTACAGTATGGTGGACTGTAAAGAAAAGAAGAAAAGAAACCTTCATACAATGTCTTCTGAGCATATACTGTACAGTATCCTGCAGTTTCTGGACATTAACTTACCTACTAAATTTCGCTCTAACATCAGTATGATATGAAAGTTGAAGTGATTTGCTTGGGCTGTATGGTGGGTAGTCTGACACAGGGTGGAAAGGTGCAGTGTATGAAGTACTGTATGAAGATAAAGAGTGTTCACCAACGTTCTCTGATATCATCCCAACACACTCCAGATTGACTATGCTGATGCTATAATATTGTAATTTTCATAGTGTCAGTTATTTACTAGTCTTCAGGAAAATGTTGAGAGATTTTTTACGCTTCTGTATTTTATCACTAGTAAAAATGTCCAAAAATCTTGATGTAAGCAAGTTCATTATTATGAACAGTTGATTAAGACTTCCTGGAGTCTCTTTTGCTTAGGTATTTTTGACTGTATTCTCCAAAAGAAGTTCCAAATTTTGGAATATCACTGTTGTAAATCTTTTCTAAATAGTAAAGGATATTTTAATGTTAATGTTTCTGTTTTTTTTGCTATATTCTGTAAGATTAAAGTGTCCTTGAATAATAGAACACACAATCTTAATTTAAGATCACAATGACATTTCTTTAAAAACAATAAGGAATAGGGATGTTGTTTTTTTACTTTTCATCAAATGAGATCCTTATTTGTATTTTTCCACATTTATGCCTTTGCTGCTTAACTATCCCCCCAAATTATTCACTTTTTAGTCTCTCAAAAATGTTTTTAGATAAAGGGCTGCAGCTGTAAAACAGAATGGGATACGATTAAGATCGTACTAGAGTTTATTATTGTTATTATTAAACCCATATCAAATGTATTCTTGTTCTAAAGTTTTTGCAAGTTTCATTTTTAGATTTGATACAGTACCAGATTATTAAATCTATCAAAACATTATGAAATCACTCAGATAACTGGTGTTGATAAGGTTCTATAGTGGGACCAAAAATAGGTAATTAAATACAGTATAAATACTATGCATTACAAACTATCATTTTTTTATTGAAAAGCAGCTGGTAGAATCAGTTTTCATGCCAATTAAGGGAAGAAAAGCTTAATCAGTCTAGATCAAAATAATGTAATCAAATAATCTAATCTTGTAGTCTCTAGTCTCTATTATTTGTTCTTGAATTATATTTGAAGAGGGAAATAGATGTGTGGACTGATGCATTAAACAGAATGAGATGGTGAGGTGAGACTATAAGTACAGTAATTGTTTTTGTCAGGCCAAATCCTTTATTTTTAAGTATTTTTCAGTGAAGTTTTTTTAAGCTTAAATGAAAATAAAATTCAAATTGGTTCCCCCCAGACAACAGATATTTTAAAATGTCACTATGTTTTATGACTGTGTAGCTTAAAAGGTATCAGTGGCACTTATTTCTAATCTCAAAAAATAGCCTCACCCAAAAATCGGTGAGTCCTGTTTTTGCTTGTGGCAGCTTTTTTTCTTAACCCAGCTGAAATTCATTAAAAATGATTCACAGGCCATTTCCTTTACTTCAACTTGTCCTTCATTGAAGTGTTAATATTACTTTGTACACAAGTGATTTATTTTTCAAAGCAAGCCCCAACTGTCTAGGGGTTATTTTCTTGGCTGCTGGCACAGCCCATTTTCAATCTACATTCTAAAACCCATTTATTGTACATAAGAGGTAGCTTTATAAGTTAATTTGAAATTAATGAACATTGGGATCTAGGTAAGGTGAAGCTTTGGTGTTTTCTAAGGACCATAATCATAGACTGTGAGCCTTAATGTGAAGATAGATTTGCACACTCACTGTGTTTTTCTCCGTAGCTGCTGTCTACAGTATATCTAAATGATGGGTTTGTCCGGCCTCAGACTGAAATAGTCTCTCTCATATGATGCAGATTGACTGGTGGTTGGAAATCTACCTGAGTCTTGTCTGTCCCTCATTCCATGTGAAGTTTGTTATTCCTGAAATCACAGCACTTTCCCTTGGTCATTGTTCTCTCTATTTGAACCTTAAACTTTCAATCCTTTGGTCTGAATTTTAATTTCTGTGTAAATGATCATTGACAGTAAGCCACTAGTCACATCTGGCTGTCTGGGAGATCACCTTTGGCCAGTGTCCACCTCAGTTCAAATTCAACAGTCTAATGTCATTGTTCACTGCAAATTCCCCCTTGATCCTCTTTGGAGCCCAGATTCAGAGTTCATAGACTTTCTACTTGTGAAACTTTCAAGCATCATTCTTCTCTCACTATTCAGCGCTCAGTTTGGAAGATCTTTCAGGCTGGGGGACGCCAGGAGTTTGTGACGTCATGCACTTAATGGAATACTTCAGGATGGGTCCTGACAGTTTTTTTTTATTTTATAAACGTTAGTATAATGTTGAAATGTTACATTTGTGGGTTTTATTTCATGTACCACACTTAACAGCTGTTCACAAGCAATCTAAGAGGAAGTTCATTAATCATATCAGGATGATCTTTGAACAGACATACTCATAAACTGTTAAACAGTGGTATCGCTTAAAAAAACAATC